ACCTGTTTAACAGGTGTAATATTGAAGGTATCGAGACTTTTCTCAAACAGTCTCAGTTACAGTGGACTGGTCATGTCTTGAGAATGTCTGATGACAGGATACACAAGATCCTAAAGTATGGCCAGTTAGATCAGGGCTACAGGAATGTAGGACGCCGATGGCTAAGATACAAAGACAAGCTGAAGAGCAACTTGTCAGCTGTCAATATATCTCATAACACCCTCGAGCGCTTAGCCTTGGAGCGGGTAGAATGGAAATCAACGTGTTTTAGTAGGCTCAGCAGTTTTCAATCAGCTTGTCTGAATCGTCTTCAAGAAGCGAACGCAAGATCTAAAAGGTCAGCCAATCTAACAGTGATCTCATCCCACAATCCTTACTCTTGCTCCATATGCGGTCTCCTTTGTAAATCACTAAAGATTATCGCACAAACTCATCCTCATACGTCATATTGTAAAAGGAAACTGAAAATAGCCGTGGATAAAAGGTGTAAACACTAAAAAGTGCTCAATACAAGAATCCAAAATCGGAAATGTAGAGCAAAATATTTACAAAAACGCTAAAATGCAATTTACCTTATTACCCGGATTTCAACCGCAAGGAATCCTCAAGCAAGTAGAAACATATATATTTATTCTTACATTTTTCTGTTTGGTGAGAGTGAGGGACTACAAAAACTGTCCATACTGTTTATTGTCGAAAACACCTTAGCTCATTCCTTAGCCATTTTTATGGACATATTATCACCTCCTTGTGTAGACGCCTCACGTATCACTTATCACATCAAAGCGCAAAGAAAAAAATCTATCCACCCACAACATACAGGAACCCTTGAGAAAAATTTCAGGTCGTAAACACTGAAATTCTATGTCAATCAAATTACCGAAAATATCTCGCTATAAGAGAGGGTATGTATATTAAACATCTCTGTCCCACTATCAACCTCACGTTGTTTAACAATGGGAATGGCGTTCTGCAAGGCTTTGTAAAAAATAGACGCTCACACGAATTCCAGTCGCGTTCAACACGCGAAGACTCGGAATAAGGGCTCCTACTAGTATTCAAAAGAACACAAAGAATACATCTCAGTCAAAACATCAAGAGAAACTAACAACGCCCAAAAAAACAACTTGAAGATGGGTAACAAATGTCCGAAAGCGTTTGGGACAATGGACAGTTTTTATGCTCTCTCACTTCACTCCCACCAAATGAAAAAATGTAATAACGCTAGAAAAACGAAATGTTATTGATGTTATATTCAGCACCCCGATTCCAGAGTTTCGTAGACGAAACTTTTTTCCAGTCGTTCGGTGCACTCGTCAGGAAGTTTAAACTGAAACTCGGAATATAGCATCAATCAGCTAAGTCACAATTTTTGTCTTAATATATACACTGCGTGCCAAAATATTATCTAGATAACTTTTTTCTAATATTTCAAAAACCGTCCAATCAATTCACACAATTTTGGCAATACTGATCTGCGCAATTCCTGAAATTTTCGTACTGATCTGCGCAATGTAAACAAACTGGCACCATATTTGTTATCAGCACGGTGATTTGAGCGTGCCAAATTATTAGATAGGTTTACCAAAATACTAAGAATTGAGCAAACAAAACGTTTATTAATGTTGAACGTGAATGTTTATGATCAAAAGATGCTAATAAATAAGATAATCAAACAAATAATAACAGATACAAAGGCACAGTTTTAAACAAATTAATAGGGAATGTGCTTTCCCTGTTTTGAAATTACTTGAAAAAGTCAACAATCCATGGAATTTGTCAATTGTAGTATGTCATCTGCTGTAATATCGCGAGATATGTCAAGAATTGCTTCCCATAACTCAGCGTTGCTCCTGAATTGTCGTCCGTTGGCGTACAGTCTTCTATTCATGATGCTCCAAAGGTTTTCGATTGGGTTCAAATCCGAGAATTTGCTGGCCACTTCATTTTTTCGAGGTCCATCAAGCTTCAACTGTTTCAAATATTCAGTAGTCTTGTGAGCAGCATGTGAGGGAGCATTATCTTGCATAAAAAACAATGGCCCTTCTGAAGGCAACTCTTTGCCTTTTCATCCACGGTTCAAGATGCTCCTTCATAAATGCTATGTATGCATCAGCAGTCATTTTGACGCCATCTGGTACTCACCATGGGCCCACTAATGTGTTTCCAATAATACCACCCCAGATCATTATGCCTCCACCGCCTTGTTGGCGTCTCAAACAGTGATGGCGATTCTGTCCGTTCATTACCCAGCCTTTGCACCATTTATCTGGCCCATCAAGTGTTGCTCGAGTTTCGTCTGTGAACAAAACTTTAGAGAAGTCAATCTTCATATTGTCCTCGGCCCATTTCAATCGATTTTGAATGTGATTTCTCGTCAGCGGAGGCTTCGATACAGGTTTGACTGTTGTTGCTATTTCCCTCAGATACCGACACCGAGTACTTTTTGACACAGTAGGATCCACAATACGACTGAAAAGCTCTTGACTCGTAAGCCCAG